CTTCTATCTCCAGGACAGCACTGATACAGGACATAGAGAGAGGAAACCGAGGCTGTGAGGGCAACAGGGACACAGGTAAGTGACGTCATGGATGTGCGTGCATCTGGCTGCATAGCCTGTCCTCTTTACCATTTGATGCCACTTGTATGTGCATGTATGATTCTGAATGGCTGTGTCTGTGCTTTCAGCGAGAATGACCCAGCACAGAGTAAGTACTCAACAAATATTTGTTGCAAAAAAAAAATTGTAAATAAGGAAACAGGTTCAAGATGTGAAGTTTTTTGTCACTTCTGGAGCTTACAGCCAAGTATATGCACAGGCAATCAAATGATCACACAACCAATTAATTATAATTATTTTCTTTGGTTTTTGTTACAAAAGGAATAATTACAATTATGACAAGGGCTTGCGCCAAGGAAGATCAGATGACCGAGCTGATAACTGAAGCAAGAGCAATAATCATAATAATAATCATAGCTAATATGTACTGAGTACTTACCATGCACCAAGCACTGATCAAACACTTACATGAACAACTTCATTTATTCTCAGAGCATTCCTATGAGAAAGGTGCCATTATTACCATCTCCGTGAGAGGCAATCTCTCTGGGGCACAGAGAGAATAAGTAAACTACCCAAAGTTAAATCAGCTATTAAGCAGTAGGGTCCGAATTTGAACCTGACCCTAAGCAGGCTGCCTGGAGTTTGTGCTTTTGATCAGTTATGCTCTCTCCCCCAAGTTAACCGGGCAAATAGAGGGCATGGCGAGGAGGATGACACCCAAGTAGAGGGAAAAGCAGGCAGAGCAAGCTTGGTGTTTGAACAACAAGAGAAGAGGCTGGGGAAATGGGCGGGACTGTGTTGAGGCAGGGGAGTGGCATGATCAGCATAGTGTTTTTAAAAGGTCACCCTACTGCTGCATGCAAAATGGATTAGATGCGGGCCAGCAGTTGGGGAAGGAGAGACGTGAACAGGTCTAAGATAGATTCTGGAAGCAGAATCTTAGTGAGGGTTAGATAGAAAGGTGAGGGGGAGAGAGAGCCAAGGGAAACTCAGGTTTCTGGGAAATGGCTGGTAGCACCATACATGGTGATGACAATTCAAGAAAAATACCTGGTGTAGGCTGGGAGGGAGATTTTGGCCTTAGTTCCTGTGACATGTCCAAGAGATGCCCAGCATGTGGAAGATATTCAAATCTGATGCTCAGAAGAAGAGAACTCTTTGTTGGAGGTAGAGATGAGGAATCACTGGCAGATGTTAGGAATTGAAACCACTGAGAAGGGCCAACGTGAACCTTATGTGGGAGCATGAGCACAGAGAGCTTAGTCAGTTGTCACCGTAATTCCAGATTCTGTGCTTGGTGCTGGGGACCTAACAGTGAACCACCTGGCTTGCCATCTCCAATGCCTTCCCAGGACAGGCAGGCAATGACCACTTCTCCTGTCCCCCGCTCCCTCCAGGGCCACCACCACCACTGAAGACCCGTTCTGTGCTCCGGGGTGATGATGTCCTATTGCCCTGTGACCAGCCATCCAACCTGGCCCGGGCCTTGTGGATGCTCAATGGGAGCATGGGCCTGAGTGATGGGCAGGATGGCTACCGCGTGGGTGTGGATGGGCTGCTGGTAACAGACACACAGCCTGAGCACAGTGGCAACTACGGCTGCTATGCTGAAGAGAATGGCCTCCGCACCCTGCTGGCCTCCTACAGCCTCACAGTGCGGCCAGCCACCCCTGCCCCTGCTCCACAGGCCCCTGCAATGCCTGGGGCACAACTGGCGCCTGATATGCGGCTGCTCTATGTGTTAGCCATTGCTACACTTGGTGGCCTCTGCCTTATCCTGGCTTCCTCCCTCTTCTACGTGGCCTGTCTTCGGAGAGGTGGACGAGGACACCGACAGAAATACTCACTGGGTCGGGCCGGCTGGGCAGGGGGCTCTGCTGTGCAGCTGCAGACAGTGTCAGGCCAGTGTTCCGGAGAGGAAGATGGTGATGATGGGGAAGGGGCTGGGGACCTGGAGGGTGGCTGCCTCCAGATCATCCCCGGGGAGGGGACCCCAGCCCCG